AATTACTAGTTTTTAGGTAAATGACGGCAATGAACGAAAGTGAGAAAGAGGGCCAAAGTCAAATCTAAAAGCAAACTAAATAAATAATGCAAAAGTAGCATCCCATAAACTCTGATATCAATAATACAAAAGTCTACCTTGTTAATCTTTAACCCCGTGATACTTTACAATATCCCCAAATCTTCTGACCTCCCTAAATCGACAGGTGGATGTATCAAGATTTAGAGATAACAAAAAAGAGAATGGACAAGTTGTCTAGTTATAATAATTGGTGTCTCGTCTAAACTCGTCAATGCACTTAAATAATAGGGTTAATCTTTTTTTTTTCACTATCTTGTATATATTTTAGAGTAAATCTTATATACACTGACGGCGTACACACTATCATGGTTGGATATACGCTACATATATAAAATTTGAGTTTTAAATTCAAATTTAGATTACGTGTCACGCATCTAATGGTGAAAGTGTATATACTGTCAGTGTATAGAAGATTAATCATACATTTTATTAGTTTTGAATGAATGATAACTATGCAAAATTTGAATTTCAAATTCAACTCTCGCACATGTATCATGAATCTAATTGTGATACTGTATATACTGTCAGTGTATATAAAATTTACCCTAAATAATAACGTTTCACTTACAATGTTAATGGACACAATCATAATTAATTTCCCACTGTATTTAGAAACTCTACTAAATTAATTTTACTTTTATAAAAAAAACCAACACCTTGGGTCTTTTTAATATGGATATCCATTAGTCAAATCCATAATAAACTCGTCAGTATACTTAAATTATGTTTATCTTAAAATGTTAATGGACACATTCATATTTATTGCTAGCTACATTTAGAAATTCTCCTGATTAATTATATTTTTATAAACAGTCAATACCTGAGGTCCTTTTTTTTTTTTTTTTTTTTGAACGTGGGCGTTCGTTAGCAAAATCCATGATCAAATATAAATAATGGTTAAATATGGTATGCATCTTTCGATGTCAACGTCTTTACAATTTTGCAATTTTCCCACAATATTCAACATCCATTGCCTACGCTTAAGATTGTGATTTGCCAAAACAATACTTCTTGTGCACACAAGTTCCCACTTAATGCACAATTGCAATCAACATATGATATGGGGACCAACAAAATTTGCCCATGCCGTCAAGCTTCCAAGCTTCAAGATAAGTGATTGACTTGCTCAATGAGCAAGCATTAGCCTTTTTCTTTCGTTTCAAGTCTAAGCATTCATGAGATCATCTAATCTCTCCAATGTCCATTGGCCTTTGTAAAATATTCTCTCTCTTCTTCAAATAAAGATTTGATTTCATAAAGCCTGTGTCGTCGTCTCGTCCAATCAAGGGTTTTTTTAATAAGAAAAATAAATTTTATTAATAAGATTGTTAGAAATCATCTGGCAACAAATGATTGATAAAAGTTGGGGGAGAATTCCAAAAAGATTCAACGTAATCAGATGATTAGGTATAAAGAGCCAATTCATGAGTTACTTTGTTCGCATTCTTACGAACTCAATGGCGTTATGATTTGATAAAGCTATTCTAATACTATCATCGATCAAAGACTCTGCCGCTGAAGGGACATCATTAGTAGGGCGCAAACTTTGAATAATTACTAGTGCATCACTTTCAAAGAACAATTAATTATGAGATGAACCAATTTTTGCCATAAAGATGGCTTCCGCAATTGCCCCGCTCACTCCTTGAGTAATGATAATATTCCCTCCGTCCTACTTTGATAGTTATATTTTTTTTTTCACACAGTTTCAGAAAAAGTAGTTAACTTTGTTGGAAAAGTAAATTTAGATTGCTATTTTTCTAAAATACCCTCACATTAAATATGGTACAACTTTATGGAAACTAGAATTGATGGTAAAAAAAGAATCAACTCTCATTAAGGGTTAGGTCTACAGTAACAACTAATCACATTGAATAAGGGTATTTTAAGAAAATTAAAATATAACTACATTCTTCAATTGGAAAGTCGACTATAATTTGGAACAGATGAAAAAGGAATACATGACTATCAAAGTGGGACGGAGGGAGTATCACGAAATTGCTTTGCTAAGCTAGCGATAAAAATACATGTGTGATCCCGCCAACCCAGATAACCTGGGAAATTGCAGCATCAAAATTAATTTTAAAGTGGTCTGCAACGTCTGTTTATGAATAGGGTTGAAAACGAATCGAGCCGCTCGAGTCGAGCTCGATACTAATCGAGTTCGAGCTCGAACTTGAGCTCAAAATATTAAGCTCGTTAGCTTGAATATATATATATATTTTTATTTTTATTTAATAATAAAATTATGTATATTATATATATTTTTTATTTTTATTTTGATAGTAAAATTACGTATATATCCTTAATATTTTATTATTTATTAAGAAAAAAATATTATTTTATTTATTTTTTAAAAAATAAAATAATTATTTTTTTTATTTTTTTCGAGCTCGAGCTCGAGCTCGAACTTGGTAAAATTTAGTCGAGACTCGGCTCAATTAGCTCAAAACTCGACTCGACTCGACTCGTTTGCAGTCCTATTTATGAGGGACCATCAAGCAATTTCGCAATTTGCCATATGATTTGCGGAGGGCTCACGTTAGCCTCTTTAAAAGCTGCATGGAGACGAGACTAATGCCAAAGGATTTTTTGCATTTCTATTTGTACAAATAAGAATTTTGAGCATTCCAAATCTCAAAGTATAGCATAGCAAAGTACTAATTATAGGTAGCATCAAATAATTGAGGTGATTTTCATATTTTTTTTTTTTGGTGCTAGAAAAAGAATATTTCAATGTATTCAATTATGTGTGCTTTACATCACAAACTCTATAGTAATAAAACTTGGTGGCATTTGCGTGCTTTTTACTTCTGCATTGATTTTCTTTAAGATCAAAAGAAACTCCAACGTTTTAAACTTGTTTGGAAAATGTAACTAGAAAAATATTGTTTTCCATTTTACTCCACCCTTACATTTTTTAGATGTAAAGAAAAGGTACGTTTTGCCAAGTTAAACCTCCCCGTTTGGTAAGTGAGTTTTTTGGATGTTTGTCTAAAATTTTACTGTAACTATTGTAGAAGTTTTTAAAAAATTTTTTGAAGTGTGTAAATTTTGAATATTTTGAAGTATATAGTTTAAAAATTTTGAAAATTTTTTGAGGTTACTGTAGTTAAAGTTTTTAAAAAACTTGTAGCAGACAAACTTGGCAAAAAACTCAAATATCAAACAGGGTTGTAGTTTGGTTGGCACTCATTTTTTTTTTTTTTTTCCTAAACAAGCTTATTTCGTTGAATTTCAAACCAATATGCAAAGCAAGAGAAGCACATAAAATTCTGCTGAATTTCATCAGGGGTATTTTGTCTTTTAATTTGCAAAACACAATTGATTTCTTTTGTAATTATAATTCCGTGGAATGTAATTACAATTGCATTAAAACACAATAGACCAAATTTCTTTTGGTAAACTTATTTAAATCGACAATCAAGATTAGTAATATATTTACAAAAGGCAAAATAAGAAACATTAAACTTATACCCAAAATTAAGTCCCTTATGTACAGTGCTTCAATAATAAAGTTGGCCCCAGTTGCAAAATCTTGCCTTTTCCATTGTAAACTAGCTAGGGAAAACATTCCTAAAGACAATCAAACTTCTTACCTCTAATCCTAACAAAAAGTACCATGACTCTCTATTGCAAAATTTTTTAGTTAAAATGGCAATTGCTTTCGAAATGGGATTTTTTTTTAAAAATGTTTTGAATTATTGCAAGGTATATTGATGGGATTAATTTTTTCTACACTAAAGCGTATACACTAGCTTGTCGAGATGGATACTACATAATCCTAATTTGAATTTGAACTCCCAACAGGAGAAAAATTTACCCATGTTTATATTGTACAAATAACCAAAGTTATTATTTTTTTACCAATGAGGCTTTAATCTAATAGTTAAGATTACTGTATTAAAACTTAGGCCCCATTTCATAAAACTAAAATTTAAAATTTGAAAATTTAACTTAGGCTCCGTTTTCATAAAACTAAAATTTAAAATTTGAATTCTGAAATTTGAAAATTAAGTGTTGAAAATATTAAGTTGCTGAATTGATAAAATTATATGTGTTTGATAACTAAGGGAATTATAGCATTGAATTGAAATATTGCACAAATATTATACTTTTTTATCTTTTAAAAAAATTATCTTTATTTGGATAATTGGAGAGAAAGAAAAGAGTTTTGCGTGAGAGAAAGTAATTAAATAAGTTGAGGGATAATATTAAGTGTGTGTCTTTCTATGTGTGCTTGCAAGAATATATATACGTGGAAAGTGAGCGTAAATGTACTATTTGTGCGAGATCATGTGTTACATGTGTGAGTGGTGTAATATACATGATCAATTCAAAAAATAGGGGACAATTTTCACTTAAACTTTTCTAAACATATTAAGCACTACTTATCAATATATTAAAGTGATTAGACATTTCAGTTATGAATGAATTAATTCAATTGAAAGTTGAATTATCAAACAGCTCCTCGAAGGTTTTATGTTCAAATCCCTCTTCCTCCACGCTTCACTTCAGCTCTTTCTTTTCGTGTTAGGACAAAAAATGAAAAAAAAAAAACTTGTTTATTTTTGTCTTTACTTCCATTTGTGTTTTATATAATTTTTTAATGCGAGTAGGCGAGCCAGAATTAAACTGCGCAAATCGTTTTTTTTTTTCCCCATTTCGACATTTCGATTGATACAACCGAAGAAAGCTCCTATTTGTGTCCGTTTCTGTGCCTGTGGGGACTAGGTGCAGTGAGTTTGTTTGGATAAGAGTTTATTTGAATGATTTATTTGAGATATTTACTGTAGTACTTTTTATGATGTGACGTATATGAGATAAAAAAATAATTGAAAAGATAAAAAGATAATTGAAATTTACGAGGCAAATTTTTTTTTTCAAATTCTCTCTGTCCAAACAAACTCAGTGTATTCTTTTGATTCAGAGAATAATCAAAAATCAACGGTAATCAGAATCTCACAGCACAGTGCCCGAGAGATTATCTTCACACATTCAGTCGGTCTCTTTCTCTCAAAAGTCTACATGCGTGCTCCCCTTCTCTTTTATTCCTTTTCTGTCCTTATCTTCTTTCATTTCTCTACCCTTTGTTTGCTTTTACCATAAGAAGAAAAGGTTAAAATCATTATGGCTTTTTGCTAATTCTGTAAAAGATTCAACCTTGATATAGATAGATTCGTTGGTTCTTCCCTCAACTGGGTCTCACTTAAAAGGGTTCAAGAATCCAAGTGGGAAATTGTGTTTCTTTTTGAGCCCTTTTAATGTTAACCTCTTGTATATATGTTGAGTTTTGGGTTTATTTGATCTTTTATCCATTTGAACTTGATTTTGATTGTAACAGTTTGGATGTGGATTTGGTATTAGTTGTATTTTGGCTTGTGGGTTTTCTCTGTCTCATCATTGGATTTTTTTTCTCTGTTGCTTTACTTCTTAACTTCCCCGCTCAGGAACATTTTTCTTGGAAATATCAATTTTTGATCTAGTATGTTTAATTGGTGATCAAGAATCTGGTGAGGGATTGCAATTAGTAATTAGAGGCTGAGAGCTAGAAAATAAGTTGATCAGGGATGATATACGCGTTTATATTGTCTACAAGTGTTGACTATTCATTTCTTTCTACTTATGTGAGGATCGTACTTCATAAATGTGATTTTTCATAGTAATTTCAATTGGTCAAAGAACTTTCTTCTTTTATTTGTTTTGAGGAGCTTCTGGAGAATTTTTTTAATACATAATTAAGGTTCAAGGAGTCCTGTTTCTTGGAAATTGGAGTCATTTTATAACTAAATGGGATTGGTATTTTGCTCTAACATTTTACGTAAATTGTTTTGTTGGTTTTAATCATTTTATGTCTTGATCTTTGGGTTTATCGGTTCGTGACTGGCAATTTTTCTGTTTCAGTTGTAAGAGATGGGTATATACCTTAGTACCCCAAAGACTGAAAAGTTATCTGAAGATGGGGAGAGTAAAAGACTTAGGTATGGTCTATCATCCATGCAAGGATGGCGTGCAACAATGGAAGATGCTGTGAGTGCTCAATCAGCTACCCTTTCTCTGCTGTCATGTGATTTAATTTTGAATTTCTGGAATGTTACTCTAGATAATTGCTCTTCTGTCTGTCTGTGACAGTGTGATGTTGATTGGGATATCTTTGGCCTAAACGTACTATTTAGATACTAAAGTTACTTTTCTGGTAGTCAGTGGCGGCAGTTATCTTTTCACAGCTTTTGATGGTTGCTGAAAAGGTATATTTAGCGTTGATTTGGTGTGTTTGTTTTCAAAATAATTTGTCCTTGAAGTGAATGTGATTTTGATCTTGAACAGGTCAAAGGGCATTTTGTTGTAGGTGACAGTTCTAAAAATTTGGAATCTTTTGGGGTGGTGGAAAATCGGGTGGAAAAGTACAAAAGGTGCTGTGCATATGAGAGAAAATTTGAATCTTTCAGATTTGTTTTGCAGTATTTCTAAGGTTGAATGTTACGTGGCTCTGCTGATTGTATGTCCAATGATCTGCTGCAACTCTCTTCCTGTTAAAGTCTGCAATAAAGGGAAAAGAATTGGTGTCAAGGGCCTGTAACACCTTTATCAACTAATTGATTTCTTCCTTACCACTAATCTATCATTCAAGAACTTAGAGCACTACCTGTAGATGTGCTCTGAAACTGGATATCGACATTTTTGTTCTATGTTCCATCTCATATGTGTTAATTTGTGCCTTTCACTTTATACTTGCCGTGTTAGAGAACATCCATTTCTGATACATTAGTGAAATTCCGCATGAGCACATATTTTTGCTTAAAGCAAATTGGCACTGACTATAGTCTAACCATACTATCCTTCTTTCTTCAGCATGCAGCAATTACTGACCTTGACGCTAATACATCATTTTTTGGCGTATATGATGGTCATGGAGGTTAGTTTGACATCTGATTATGTGGTTAGCAGAGTGATTTTTTGAATGGAAAAGTACTTGTACCAGTTATGTTTGATATGGGAAAGGCTATCTTCAATTTTCTGTATTGCTTCTAGATTAATGTCCGTACTTTTACATTCTTTTGTTTCTATTTTATTTTCTTTGCTCAAGCTTGACAATTCCAGGGAATTCTTTTGTTTCTAATTTGGTACCTTTTGATACGAAATTACATAAGCTTGTTGTAGTTACTAATTTTGGAAAATATGTGTATATACAAGATGTACGATTTTTTAATCTATTTTTGGAGGACAGATGACATTCAAGTAAAGTGTAAGATTAAAATGGTTAGGAGAAATTGCTTCTTAAGACAAAAATTGAGAGGGGCTGTTGTGAACGGGAATGGAGTTTTTGCTTTCTGATGACCAATATCTGTTAATGCCCAATAGCATGAGTTGAGTGATGCCAGACCAAGGAATGTCCTAAATGACTGGATTTCTTTCCAAAATAAACGTTATGGAATGCAGTTAAGACATTTGATACTCTTTTTTTATTTCTGTTGCATTTTATGGTATTCCGATTTGTACTGCTGCAGCAGATGATGCACCACCTTTTACCACTGCTGTAACTAAGATTTTAAGCACTGTAACATAAGAGTGGCCTAACTATGTCTGCCGATATTTCCTCATGAGATTAATTATTCAATCTATTTTGTTGGTTAATTCTATGAGCAGTTCATATCCTGATGAGTAGGAAAAGAACATAGTTTTTTGTTAATTTCCATGCATATTAATCCCATATCTTTTGATTTTCTTGCTACCACAACTTAACCCCAATGTGTTTGCATTAGGAAGTGCTCTGATTTCCTTTCTCTGCGTTGATTTAGCTTTCAGCTTCCTAGGATTCTGAAATTGGTTTTTAGTCGAAAGCTTTGACATCTGATGCTACTAATTAAGTAGATGACACTATATGCTAGTGCCTGACTATATTAAGTAAACTGTAATTGAAGGGGGAAAAACAGGGAATTAGATTTATGGAACTTCTAGTATGATTACCATATTTCAGGTAAAGTTGTTGCTAAGTTCTGTGCCAAGTATCTCCATCAACAAGTGTGTAAGCATGAAGCATATGCAGCTGGTGACATAGGAACTTCAGTCCAGAAAGCTTTCTTCAGGTTATCGGCTTAAACTTTGAATATCTTAGCCCATGTACTGTTTTCTCGGTAATTGCTGTGGCTATTACATGGAACTGTCAATGTCAAAGACTTGCGTTGTGTGCTACCTTTATTGAGGCACAATTTTTCTAGTTTTTTATGAGGAGTTGAGTCGGTGAAAGAAGAACTGGATTATGCATCTTGGTGTTATAATTGTTTCTTCTGGTGATGTTTGTTTGTGATGTTCAAAGACTTGTGTTGCGTGTTACTTTTATTGAAGCACAATTTTTCTATTTTTTTACGAGGAGTTGAGTTGGTGAAAGAAGAACTGGATTATGCATCTTGGTGTTATAATTGTTTCTTCTGGTGATGTTTGTTTGTGATGTTCAAAGACTTGTGTTGTGTGTTACCTTTATTGAAGCACAATTTTTCTATTTTTTTACGAGGAGTTGAGTTGGTGAAAGAAGAACTGGATTATGCATCTTGGTGTTATAATTGTTTCTTCTGGTGATGTTTGTTTGTGATGTTCAAAGACTTGTGTTGTGTGTTACTTTTATTGAAGCACAATTTTTCTAGTTTTTTACGAGGAGTTGAGTCGGTGAAAGAAGAACTGGATTATGCATCTTGGTGTTGTAATTGTTTCTTCTTGTGATGTTTGTTTGTCATGTTCAAATTCTGAAAGGAAGTTTCTCGAGGATCTTGAAGTCATTGATGTTGTAACTTCTCCTAGAGGTCATTTTGGAGATGTAGAACGATGCCTATTTACTAACTGTGCAAATGTCAAGGCTAGAGGAAAAGGATGCCATTGCAATGCAGACTGCGCAGCATATACTTACCTTTTGGATGGATTTGGTCAATCTCCCCTGTAGTTTTTGGTGCATACTAGTGTTTCTCTGTATGTATAGAACTAGTTATTTTTTTGAGGATCTCCATTACAAGGTAATTGCTTATATCACTATGAACAATTTCCCCTATTTATTAGTAATAGAATGATCTCATGAATCTAGAGTTGCTTTATCTCTCAATGTGGCCCAAACCGGCATTTGCTTGCTGTCAGAGGTCTGGATACGAGAGTTAATCAAGTTGGTGCAAAGGTGTATGTAAACAGGAGTCGTGGGGCTGAGTTGGCATACTTTCCAGGGGGAGCCAAAGGACTTTGTTTAGAACTGTTTTCCCAACTTTTATGCATGCATTTGAATGCCGTTCCATTTAATTTTGTGATTTCCAAACCTAGATCATTGGGACTATGATTCAGCTCAATGAAGTAAATACGTAACTTGTAGCAGCTCATTAGAGATCGACTAATCAGCAAAAAGACGGAGGCTAAACTCTCAGTTTGCCTACTCTTCACTTTTCTTCTACTTATAAAGTCTGGGAGAAAGTCAGCCCCCCAAAGAACAGATCCTCACCCTCTGCCATATAAAAACATGTTGAAATATACACACATGCATATAGCATTTTAAGCTAATATATAGGAATTTAAGGTATCAGAAAAAGATGCTCATATAAAGATATATGAAGGATTTCTACAAATTCCAGGACACCTTTAAAATATCAAGTATAATCTACATCCTTCCTTCCCTTCTGTTATTAGAGATTCTATGCCACCTTGATTGTACACGCCAAAAATGTGATCTAGGCTCCCATATCTCAATGTATACTATGTCATAAATGTGATCTAGGCTCCCATATCTTAAAGTATACTATGTCATATATGTATTTAAAGTTCACCTTTGCATTCACTTTGTTGCAGAGCAAGAATAAATATCTTTTTCATCAAAGATATGACACTTTCTTTTATGCATTCTTTGACTTTTGAGAATCAACTGCTCTATGTTGCTCCTCTTGAGCTTATGTATTGAAACTTACCAGCATTGCACATTTTGTTAATTTCAAGATTGGCTCTGATAATCTCATTGACTTAATTGTAATTTAAACTCTTATGGAGATTCCTTTCAGAACTATATTCATTTGGCATTGTCAATGTATAAGTCAAGTCACACCGTTGCCTTTCAGGGTAGAAAGCAATGTTTATGATTGAATTCATGAGTCGCCTATAGCCTGCTTTTTACTTACAAATCTGTGATTGTGTGCGATTCATTGTTTTTTAGTCATGGTTCATTGAGGATTGACTTCATCTCTTGTCATATATGCATGTGGAGACATTGCTGAAATAGAATGTACATATCATTGGCAGTGACAAAATCAGTTACTGACTGTTTGGGTATAAAATTTAGTTTTTAGATCTCTCTGTGTGGCTTAAACCTGCTGTTCAATTCCTGGTGCAGAATGGATGAAATGATGCGTGGTCAAAGGGGTTGGAGGGAGTTAGCTGTTCTCGGAGATAAAATAAACAAATTCACTGGTATGATAGAAGGTTTAATATGGTCTCCAAAAAGTAGTGATGGACATGACCAGGTTGATGATTGGGCTTTCGAAGAGGTATTTTTGCATTCCAGTTGTTAGATTTCTTGATATCTTTTGATAACGGGATATTGATTACGATATCGCTTCTTCTGGTGGAAGCTGCTAATCTGAATGTGCATGGTCAAAATATGGTTCAATGAACCAATTGATGTCCATATGCTGTGGGTTAATACTTATAAGATCTCTTTTATTGCGCATTTAGGAGATAAATTAGTCAGAACCATTGTTGTTTAATAGTTCTTTCTGCTACTATTACACACCTTACTAATACAAAGTCACTGGTCTTGTTGAAGTTAATTAACCTTAATGCTGTGGGTTAATACTTATAAGATCTCTTTTATTGCGCATTTAGGAGATAAATTAGTCAGAACCATTGTTGTTTAATAGTTCTTTCTGCTACTATTACACACCTTACTAATACAAAGTCACTGGTCTTGTTGAAGTTAATTAACCTTACGAATATCTGGAACAAGTTAGCTGGACTGATTGACAAACTTTTACATTGTTCTGCAATTTAGTTGCCATATTTTTTCTTACTGTCTCTATCAAACTTGGTAAAACAAAGACGCCAAATACTAAGCCATGCTTGTAATTAAAGCTCTGTTTTTATTCTTTTTTTGTTCTGAGTATTGATCTGTTGGCCATAAACCGTGTACTGTTTCCTTATGCTTTTTTCATCACATCTTGACTTGGTTCTTTTTTATTTGTTCTTTTAGTGTATTAGGCAGTACTGGCACATTGTCATTGATTTTTTCTAATGATTTCCCCATTGCAATCAGGGACCGCATTCTGATTTTGCTGGTCCAACTTCTGGAAGCACTGCATGTGTTGCAATTATTAGGGATAATCAACTTCTTGTTGCAAATGCTGGTGATTCTCGCTGTGTTATATCTCGTAAGGGTCAGGTAATTACAACTTTTGATGTTGGATTTACAAGCTTTGCTTACAAATGATTTACAGGAAGAGAATATATATACTGCTAAACAGACCTTAAAACATGTCAGTCCTCGTGTCTTCACTACTGGAGCAGTGACTTGGCACCTGATATTGCTCTTAATTTGCACATTGGATTTACTTATTCTTTGTGGATGCAATTTTTTGCATCTTTGTGCTTATGAAAGCAAATTTGTTGCTCTTCGATGCTTTACCTCCGTGCAGGCCTACAATCTTTCTAGGGACCATAAACCTGATCTTGAGATTGAGAGGGAGCGAATTCTAAAAGCAGGAGGTTTTATTCATGCAGGGCGTGTTAATGGTAGTCTGAATCTTGCAAGAGCCATAGGTATGATCCTGTTTACAACTATAGTTGATGTTCTTTTCCAATATTTTCTATCACAATACATAGAATATTGGCTGCCTTTCCAGTGCCTATGAGAAATGGAATTTTTATATCCAATTGATAGTACAAACTGAATCTAGTATTTATGTTGGTTTTAAAAGTTTCATTACCAACCTGCAAAACCTGGATGAAACAATCACTTTTTAATTTTTTGCAGGCGATATGGAGTTCAAGCAGAACAAATTTTTGCCTGCTGAAAAGCAAATTGTAACTGCTAATCCAGATATAAATACTGTAAGAATCTTTAACTAGGAGTGCATTTTTTTGTTCTGCTCCACCATTTTAATGCATTTTTCTTATCGCTATGGTTCTGAAGACAAAGCTATTTATAAAACAATCTGCACAACTTTACTTATTATCCTCATGGCCATGGTTCTGGATAGCAGTACCGACTTCTCAACTAGAGTCAGATGCAAAGCTTTGCAGATTGAAAGTCTGTCTGTTTGAAATGTGATTGGTGGTTGGTGATATGCTTAATCTTGTTGGTTTATGTTTTATTCAAGTTGTAGTATGACTTTCTTGAAGTGTTCCCAATAAGATAGTGTGGTGTGGTGTAATAAAGATATCATGACCATGAAGAAAGTAAAATATGCAAGACTGTTGTTATCATTGTTGTTTTTGTTGTTTTATGTTATGATTGGTCCCCAGTTGATCAATAGCTGTGCCTTTTTTGTTCTTTTGGTTGAACTTCCAGGATTATAGGTGATTATACTGGGTGTTAGAGGTAGGGCAAAGAGGGGAGTCTGTTGTTTTCAAGGACCTGCAGTTTCAGTTTGTAATTTAGTGGTCACTTTTTGATTATTTTACCGCTCAATGTATCAAATCTTTTTGCCAAGATTATTATGATGAGTGTTGATAGTTTCCTGGTTCTCTGATCAGGTGGAGCTCTGCGAAGATGATGATTTTGTTGTGCTAGCATGTGATGGTGTTTGGTATGCCATATCAACCTTTTTGTTTTAGTTTAAGATTTTAGATTCCAATATGTTTACTTAATGAAAACTCAATAGCGATACTTCCCAGGTTGGTTTCTTGATTGGATGAGCTATTAGTGTCCCCCCCCCTCTTTATTATCGTTTTAGCATAAAGTTTTATTAAGGAGTGAATGCTTCTAAGAAAAGAAAAAGTCTATTTACAGCCTGAATTTTTGTTCAGTCATCCTTGTGTGAGCTTATGGAACACATTTTTACTGATTTAATTTTATATTGCTCATGACCCTTGAATTAGTGAATAGCTAGTTCTAACAGTGAATTTAGAAGTATTTTAAATTGCCTAATTAAGATTTATTAATCTATCTGAGAAGCTTGTAATACTTTGGTGCAAATAATAGATTTGCTCTACATGCTGATTTTCATTTCATATATTTTATCTATTGGTATAGCCGTTTTCTCTCTTTGACCTTCCAAATACATGTGTTTGGATTCTTAGTCTCCCATTTTCTGGTTGTGCAAATGCGCACACACATGTTTATAAAAAGTGGTATGCATAAGTTTCCATTAGCAGAGTTTCATTTTGTTACAATTGCTTACAGTATATATGAAAGGTCATCTGTTGCCTGATTTTGTGTATTAATAGTATGGGAGAGCAAGAGTACTGGCTATTCTAGGATTTTTTTTTTTTTGGGTGGGGGGGGGGGGGGTTTAGTGGTGAGAGACAGTTCTAGTTATTTGAGTTTCATATGTTTGGTCAGACATCTGGATTGTGACCTATGTTACTCGGACTTGGGTACAGATGTCGGATTTGGGTACGTGTCTAAGTGTCTAATTTGTCAGCCATCTAAGGTCAGGATACAGGGACACTTCTGAAGACTGAGACATGGGTACGTGGGTACGCAAAAACTTCTAGACAATATAAGAATTATACAGTACAGCCAACATACAAGTCATAGCTCACAAAGGGATTGGTGAATTCTAAAGTAACCAACAAGTCATAGCTCAAAAGGATACTAGTGTAATAAGGACTCCAACGCAACGAGTCTTCTACATCTATGAGCTTTCTCACCCTAAGTCTTCTCCTCTTGCTTTGACGTCAGACCTCACAAAAGTCAAAGTGTCCAAAAAATTTTCAAAGTGTTCCATACCAGCACCAGTGTCATGTCGTGTCAACATGGGTTCTTTGTCAAATGAAGAGTCCGAGTAACATAGGTTGTGACTATTTCTTGAACAATGAGATTATAGTATCACTTTCTTGTTAAATATAGTCACCAGTCTGGAATGTATTTTGACATTCTTGATGTGTTATTAAGAGGGGACAAAAAGAACAACTCAATAGAAGTTCTAATATCAACCATAAGTATCTCAATATGTCATGTTCTTTAGGTTCTCTGACAAAAGTTGACTTCATATGACACAATTTTTTTTTTATTTGCTCAACCTTTAATTTAGCCTGACAAATCTGCGATCACTATGTATTCCCTGCTACAGGTGTATCAACTTTGTATGATAGTTCAAAGCCTTCTTGAGACTGAGTACCCTACATTTTAGTTTTTCTTCTCTGTTATTTCAGCTTATATAATTGCACAGGCTGCATATTGTTCTTGAGACAGCTATGTAGGCCTTTTTTCTTTTACTGCCACTTATTTGTCGTTGAAATGATTGTAGTAAAATGCCTCCGAGGTTTATTTTACAGTAAGAAAGTTGACTTGCCAATTCTTGATTCCTACCTCAAATAGTGAAGTTTACTTCTTCTTGGACCCATCTATATAACGATTAGTCTTTCATTAATTAGTTCATTTTTGCTCTGTCTAATTTTGCATGTGAGATCTGGTGCAAGTCTACAAGATTAACTAATTCTCCAGAAACTCTGTAGAGAATGCAAAGTAATTTAGCAACCGGACAGAGATCTTAGATCGGGCTTTGAAGGAATGTCTTTGGAGTTCTGTATAAATGAATAGGTGAATTTTGCTAATGAATCCTTTGAAATAGCAGTATTGATGACATCAAAGATAAGAGGTACCTTAATGATAGTCAGAAGACTCTTTAACTATTCCTACCTGACCAACAAGACTTGGCATGTTATCACAAAAGAGACTTACACTGACTGATGAATGCACTCAGTACAAATTTACAATTCAGTAATTTAAGCTCTCATTCTACTTTGACATGTTGCTTGTAAAAAAGCTAGTGTTTTGTTTCCCATATTTTACCTTCCGAATTTAAGGGAGAGATGATCAGATGGAAGAAGAGGAAGGGCAGAGGCAATTGAAGAGACATTAGTTAATCTATATTACTAACTTTTTGAGCAAGCAGTTGGCCATCTTGAATGTTTTTTCAGGTTGGACTTGAATTTTTTCTGCAGAGGGTTGGGAGAGGGAGGGAGGGAGATAGAGAGGCGAAACCTTTTCCTTGTGCTGATATTTCCTACCTATTACTTTGCGATAAGCATTATTCATGCATGCAACAACTGCTTGTGTTTACACGATTGGCATTTGTACATCATGTTGATCACCTTCTTCTTGTTTGATATTCCTCAGGGATTGCATGTCAAACAGCAACTTGTAGATTACATACATGAACAGCTGAGTTCAGTGAGTACACTCTCAGCTTCTGGAAATGTGCGCATATTTGTGGTTTACATGTCTATCGAACTTCAGTTGAGCAATCATTCATTTTATGGTGCTAGGACTAATTTAATGGGTGGAATACAGTAACCCACCCTTAATTAGAGGCCACTACCACAATGCCCCCTTGAACTTCTAATTCTGTTAATATGCCTTTTGAGTTATCAAATTGCTTCAAATTAGTCCTATCCAAGTTCTATCAAGAGTGCCATACAACAGGACTGAAATTCAGCCTTAAGAAATCCAGAGAATTCTGGCTGGTTTTTTTTTTTTTAGTATTGATGTTTTCCAGCAGTCTTTCCTGTCAATTTTCTTTTGATTTCTGTCTCTTTCATTCTGTTTTGGATGCAAAGTTGTCAGCAAATCCAAATATTAAAGCTACTTTCTTTTATTGCCCGCAATTCAGTTTCACCACATAACTTTTAGCCAAAGATACAATAAATTTGATGAAAATCAGTACTAGTATTGTTAGAATAACCAGCAATTGCTACAGATATACTTAGTGACTCTCAATTCAACAACAAAAAGAATCCATAAAAATCCCTAAAATCACTATGATTGTTGCCAAAAAAAAAAAACTTCACACAATTCTAAGTAAGGAAATTACAGAAATAAGATTTCAATTTTTTACTTTCCAATTGAATTTTCTACAAGATAGGATGCAATAAATTAAACACCACCACTAGTTGACGATTTTTGAATTACTGATTCAGTGAAACTCCCAGGCTTTAGTGGTATCTTTGTTAATGTCTCTACCAAGGTTTTTGGAAGAGAATGAGTGAGATGGCAGAGATGATGGCAATAACTTTATCAGATAGTTCTTGGCTTCGAAAATTTTTGTGCGTAAAACACATGCTGGTTCTGGTAAACATTCGATGCTTTTGAATAGCTAGACATTTGAAGACAAAATGATAACCTCAAAGAGTTAACTGACATGATTAGAAGTTTAATAAGGTTAGTGGACTATAGTCTATGGGGTTTACTGTGTTTTACCCTTGATTTGGTGTTTATTCAAAAGGTGCTTTGAGTTGTTGACCAATATCTTTCCTGGTCTATATACTGTGACTTTTTAGTCTTAATGCTGGAGATAAATGTAGAGTAGGATTTTAGTTCTATTGGCGTTTGAACCAGTACCGCTGTTCATGCTTCTTAAAATTCATCAAAATCTTATCGCTGAGCATGATCTTGATTACAATTTGGACCGGAGTTTCAAGATGTCCTGTTTGACACTGCATGTAAATTATGCAGGAGACAAAGCTTTCCGTGGTATGTGAAAGGGTACTTGATAGGTGTCTTGCGCCATCTACAGCTGGAGGTGAAGGATGTGATAACATGACAATGATATTAGTGCAATTCAAGAAATCAGTCGAATCAGATGAACCAGCAGCTGAAAAGGCTCCTGAGGAAGTTAGCACTGAATCACAACCTTCATCTGAAAATTCCTTGGCTCCTGAGGAAGTTGGCACTGAATCACAACCAGCGCAGAGTGGATCGAGTTAATGGCTGCAATTCTGTTTTCGTTGGTTTGAAACCTCTGATCATTCTTCAGAAACTTTAGTCTGTAACTTGTAAATGATTTTTGCCAGTGCTGAAAAGGGACATGCAGAATATGCTTTCTGTGCTCTTCTTTGTGCATTACCCAATTGAAACTTGATCGTTGAGAAGAAGAAAATGTATAGAGGATTGACACAAGTTTGAACACGAGTGATACAGTTCTGATATGATCTGTTTCTTTGCCTGGAATATAAGAGCTATCTGTCCTTTCCTGGCTTTACAAAATGGAATTCTCGATGAAGACCGGATTAAAGTTGGCAAGTCAACCTTGGAGATATGAGATTTTGATATTATGAGTTTATGGTGCTAGTATCTATTGTTGGAAGATACTACTTGGACACAGCTTGATAGATACTATGAAAGTAAAATGAGTACCATGCTGCACATATCCATTCAGCATTTTAGTTAAACACCTTGCAGGAAATTATATGGCTAAGGTCCGGGGGATTTTTACATGCCCAGTGTATAGATGTTGTGCCTTGATGTCAAAAATCGGATTTGACCAGAAAAAGAAAATTAGGAAAAGGGTTTTTTTTTTTTTCATTTTTTGGTGCACTGTTTTTTGTTTCTTTTTTGACTTGTTTTAATGTTTTCCTTAAATTCTCTTGACTTGAGTTTGATACTCGAAACTTTTATAGTATTCCTTTTTATTTTTGGATAATTTGGACAACTATAAATACTCTCGTGAAATTTTTTAATCTCAATTTTTTTTATAAATTTCCATATTTTGTCAAATAAGTTTAATGAGTTTTTTATTCAAGGGAAACTCTAAATCTTATAAAGGAAAAAGCAAAAAGAAGAAAGGAGATGACTTAAAAGTGTCAAATCATTTACTGTGTGATCACTTGTCCTGTTTTTCTACTAAGTAGGTTTTGGACATGACATAAATAATGAATTTAGTTATAAATTTGTTATTGTTTACTTAAAGTCTATAAACAACAAGAGATATATTTAAAAATTATAAGTGGGTGGTTTTGAATGCTTTTCTATTTATATATGTATAAAAAAAGAGATATCTTCAGAGATATTTTTGAATGCTTTTTTATTTTATGTATGACTAAAATATTAAATACTATACCATGTCATCAAGTTCACTGAATTTTTACCAACTCATTGACCTTAACTACCGTATTCACCCCAGTGATTGTCCAATCCAAGTTTTAAAATATTGGTGATTAGTGTTTACGTCGGAAAGATAATCCAAGTCGTCCTTTACTTTTTTAGTACATAATTTTTGGCTCTCCATATTTAAAACAATGCAAAATCATCCTTTATATTTTGAAAAACATACCAATATGTTGTCCCAAACCCTAATGTTGATCAACTTTTTAGCTAATAGCTAACATACTTATTGTATTAGGGGTAAAAAGGAAAGATAAAATTATTCCAAAATTGACCAATTTTATCCCTCCCATTTTCAAAAAAAAAAAAAAAACTTTCATATCCTACATTTAAAAGGATGCATAAGTCCCTAAGATGTTGAAAATGCATTTTTGTCCCAAAACCAAATCTTAGTCAACTTTTGAACATGAGAATCCTACACCCTTGCCAGTTCTATGTCACATTAGAACTATTAGTCAACCAAATGATGCAAAAGTAAAGAACAAACTAAATCTTTTGCTTCACTAATTAATACATTTTTGACTAATATGAATAATTGTAATCATGTCCTCAAATCCAGATAAATTTGCCCTTAGATATGATATGAAATGACAAATACATGCTACATAAAAGGAGAAAAAAGATTTAGCTGAGATTGACATGCCATAGCTACGTCTACATTATTTTAATGGTTAATCACAATTAATCGCTTAATGTATACCCTATTTTTCACCTTACCGCCACTTTTTTTGTCTCATTTTATCCCCTATTGGACAAAATTACCTCTCTTTATTCTAAATTCATTTTTTTTGTTTTTTCTCTCTTTTGTATTTTTTTCTTTCCCCTTTCTCTCATTATTTTCTGTGTCTCTTTGTTCTTTTTTTACTTCTTCCTCTTTCCTAAAAAAAACTTCATCTCAAATGGTCATTAAGTATGCAAGACCCTTCTCTAAAATAGTTTTTTTTTCTACTTTTCAAGTCTTTTGCTTTTTCCCCCTTCATTAATGATTATTAATTGAATCCGCAGCACATGGCATTGTACAAAAGATTGAAATTAACTTTTGATGCATTTTCCAAGCTTCACCATAAACCCAATTATAAAATCCAAATAAAGTTTTCTATTGAGATGAAGTTTTCTATTAGGAAGGACGGAAGAGAGAAGAAAAATGAAAGAGAAAAAGAAATAAAGTAAGGAAAAAGAAATAAAGTAAGGAAAAAGAATAAATGAAAGGTAAAAAAGTCCCAATGGTCCTCCAACTTTATCTAAGTAAAGTTTTAGCCTCAACAACTAAAAGTTTTGACCCTCGATTTAACAAAAGAGCATATTCATGGCATTTTTGTCAAGCCAAGCAATTAAGATCAACAGAGAGAATCATCATTCGAGACGCACGGTCGAATATCAAGGGCATTATAGTCTGTGTAGGAGCATTTACTAAGTAAAAAGGCAGTTTCTTCCCTTACCTTCAATCCCTAGTTATATTAGAGTAAGAAAAATCTTCATTGCTGTTAAAACTAGAGTTAAAAATGTGAAGATTGAATAGTGTCCCTCTCCTCGTGTATAGATGTGACAAGAGACCAGGGTGATAACTTCGTGGACCTCAAGGAATCCTGATTGCAAGTTTGCTGTGTGCATGGACTGTTGTTGCATATATTGGGCATGGATCGACGAGAGATATGCTACCAATTGGCGGTGATTATACCTGATCTTCTTCGAAGGATTAATGCAGTTGAAAAGGACGGAGGTGCATATGAAGAAATAGCAAGAAGAAATGAAAGGAAAGTAGCAAAGTTGAGGGAGAAAGTGAAAGAATTGGAAAAAAATCTGCTGCAAGAAATCGGTCAACAAGTTGCTATTAAGATTGTTTTTTTTAACACGATGCTGACTTTTGGAGCCAAACAAGTGGAAACCTTGCTAGTTTTCAGCAAATAGAAGGTTGCTTGTGAAGAAGATGAACCAAGTTGAATTGAATTTCTATGTGAAGAAGATGAACCAAATTGGTCCTTGTTATGTAAATTTTTTTCCTTATAATTGTATGATGTATTCGCAAAGTTTGTAATGAAATGTGTGTTTTTGGTTGCCTGAATGAAATATCTTCCTGTCTTTTCTTCTTAATTGAAAATGTTGCAGTTTATTTACTCAACTCAATGAATTGATTTTTTATCGTAGCTAGAAAAATATCATAAAAATAGTGCAATAAGATGAAGTAGATAAAAACCGTTGTATCGTATTAACTAGACATGTCCATACATTTCTAAGTATCAAAAGTTGGTTACAATCCAAAACAAAATCAGTAAGTCACTAACAAGGAAATACTGGACACAAAAAGAAACTACTAGACATAAAAACATGTTCCCATATGGTCATGAATAGTCACCATAAGTTTACACAACATAAGACAAAAAGAGTCAGTCAAAAAGTGTCCATGAATACTGCTCTCTAGATGAAATATCTTGGCTGAGTTCCCCTCCAATAGCTATTCCTCTTTCTATTCCTTTTCCAGCTTGTCTTCCTCTGGCCCTGCCTCTTCCACTCCATTTCTCCCTCCAGTTGCCAACTATGAATAGAGGTTCTTTACCCAAATAAGCATAGTTAGCATTGATGGTTTCCTTTTCTGCATCAGTAAGTGGCTTTCTAGTTGAGGTTTTCTAGATGGTTGCTGCTATGGATGAGATTGTTGTTGGCCTTATTGTGATTGTTGTTGCCCAGCTTCATCATGATCTTGTTGAGGTTCTTGCTGCAAAATTTAAGAGAACTGCTTTGTTTGTTGCAAAATTTGAGAAGACTACTCTATTTGTTGCAAAATTTGAGAAAAGTGGTTTGGTTGTTGGTTCCTACCAATTTGTAAATAGATATATGTAAGTCCATGACTAAGGATAATAGTGAAAAATCAACAGATATGATACACTCACTGTAGTCCTTTTTTTGGTTGGTTGCTGCTTTTACTGCTTGTCACCAATAAGCTCGGATGACCTGTTAGCACCTTCTTGACCTTCTTCATTGGGAGGCTTCTTGCACGTAGCTACATTATGTCAAACCTTACCACATTTTCTATAGCGAATGACAATGTTCCTCATCAATCTTCTACCATGATCTCTCCCCTCAGTTGCATCCCTTCTCCTGGTTTTTTTAGGCTTACCAGGTTGAGTTGGTGGATCCAATACAATCGTGATGGATGGGAGCCAATGATCCTCATCACTAATTGGATGCAACACGTTCTCATAAATCTTAAAGAAAAACCCCATGCTATAACAACCATCCAGGTACTTGTGAGGAACCTCTTCTCCCATAAGGTGGCAGCATGATAGCATGGAATTCCACTAACCTCCCATAACTTGTAAGTGCAATAGTTTTTTTGCATATCTACTACAAATTGGGCCCCTTTTGGACCCTTGACTTGGTAGTCATGTAGTGCATTCCAAATTGGCATCCACTGACTTGAATGTTTGACCCTATTCTCAACTATTTTAGAAATCAAAGGTCCAGTGGGCCCCTTATATTTTTCCATTGCAGCTCTTTTTCTCTATATCCTCTGCATAAGATACTCCTTATCATTTCCAATATTGTGATGATAGATTGGTCTCTAGAATCAATAATATGAGCATTAAAGGACTCACATAAATTGTTCACTATCGTGTCACTCTTTGTGTGAGTTGGAAAGTATGCCTTGCACCAATATCAAGTATGAGGAGCTTTTTGACCCATTCATATGCCTCCTTATCAAAAGTTTGAAGTTCTTCCATAGTTTTTGTATAGCTCCATTGTTGTGCAACATACTATATTCCACAACCTCTTTTTGCCTGCCAAACCTGGATGTGTTTTCTTGAAATTGCGAAAATACGTTGGACATAATATCTATCCTCACAAAGTTCCACAAAGTTAAATAAAAAAATTTACAAAGTATAATAGAAAAATCTTGATAAAAATATATAAATTTGAAAGTTTAACAAAGTACTTGTGCTTACAGTTTGGACGAATTTTGTTAGTGCCCTGTCTAGCCCTTGCAATGGAATTTCAATAAATTGTTAGTTTTACAAATTTTAAGGAAAAAGTTAAAAGCTTAAGCAATTGCTAATATCCATACCTTTTGCTGATTTGATATAAAGTTATAGTGGAACTTGGTTTTTGATTTTCAAGTCCTTACTTAAATATTTCAAAAACTAAGCCCAATGCTTAGTTGCCTCTCTCTCTCTACAATGCCCATGCAATGGGCCATCACCCATTATTCGAATTGTAGCAATGACAGTTAATAACTACCCTCTATATATCCCTTTTAAATGGCAACCAT